TCCACCCACACAAATGTCATTATACTCTGATTGTCTCTGAAAGGCTCCACTGTTTAAACAAATTGTACCTGGAAGGATTCCAAGAAGGAGTTGAAGTAGATGAAGACGATTTGAGAGATCTCATCTTCCCCTGGGTTGACAAAAAACAGCATATAGGTGATTCCCAGGAGGGGGAGAAGGACGAGCGTGGCCTTCACGGCTTTCCTGCAGGCGAAGAAACCACAGATCAGACAACCATGACGGACAGGCTCAGCTCACTGTGTGTTAAAGGCTCTTTTTGGATCCTTTTACCTGACTGAGGATTAAGTGTAAATCGTGACTAAGATCCAGGGTCGCTATGCTTCAGGTACAGCAGAGCACATTCAGTTCGTGGCTTTTTCACAATAGCTTGGCTCATTTACACACAAGGTGTCCTTTACTGTCCAGTGGAATTACTGAGAAGAATAAGTCACTCTCAACTAGACATTCAGCGTGCAGGGTTTTATTGTGAAGGGGCATGTTTTAACCCAAACCATTCACTCAAACCTAGCCGTACCCAGTTTTTGCTGTCTAAACCTGACAAAATACTATTTAGTACATTAAACCAACCAGGTTTTTAGTGGCTAAATATTTAGGCTTTTGCACCAAACCTAACCAAGTCAGTTTTAGTGGCAAAACCAAACCAAATCCTTCTTAGTGCCCAAACCAAGCCAAACATAATCACATTATTTTTAGTTTTTTTTTCAAGTCTTGTCACAGTGAAAGTGAAAACAAGTGAAAAAAAAAATCAAACAAATCAGCAAATAAAAGAAAACAAAGGAAAGAGACACAGATGATCCAAAAGGACATGAAAGAAGATTTCCTGAATGGAAAACCTGCAAATTAAGTCTTCAAACTTCCAACTTCCTAATGTGTCTCTAAAACTGGCTAATGTAGTTGGCAGACTTGCCGAGGAACACGTTTTCTATAACAGGTAGAAGCAAAAGCAAGTGGTATTAAAAAAAAACACACTACAATGAGGAAGTGTTTTCACAGCAGGTAACGTTCAGTTCACCTGTACTGGATGGTCTCTGATGTCGTAGAGGCTCGCAGTTTGGTCATCAGGATTCGTACGATATTGAAGAGGAAAATGAAATTGATCTGTGGAGAAATCAAACAAAGTAAACATGGTACTGATTATGTAGGAAATTTTATCTGAATTTTATCTCTTTTATTCTGACTGGGTAATACTGGTGGGTAAATACTGGAACAAGTGTCTGTATATTTTGTGATAGTTTCATCCTTAATGTTTTTCTTTTTTTTAATGATATGGACTAATCTCATCTGAAATAAATAAAGGTCCTGTAAATCAATGTGAACCTCTTTATGAAGGCTTTACAGTGCGTGTCAGTGTCAGAGAAAGGTTATTTTGTTTCCATCTACTCCTCATTGATGTGCTCTTCATATTGCTTAACCCCTTTCACCTTTCGTTTTCCTTTAAATGGCTTTTAAAATGATCTTAAACCTCATTTTCTGACATTATTGACTACTGCTCACTGAGGTTCAAGGTTTCTTCATTAGCACCCAGGGCATACTTGTTGTGCAGTAGATAGAACTACAGAAGTGTTGCATTAATATAGATTGAAAAAACCACAAAGGTAATAAAGTTAAAAAAACAAAAAACAAAACCACATTAAAACCTTACATTTAAAAATTAGTCAGGGAAGGTGAACCAAAGGAATGTGAGCTGTTCTTTGCAAACACAGGACTCACCTATAAGATTATAAGCCATTTTTGTGGTGAATTTTTGTTTTGCAGAGAATATGTCCCACATGCAAATCACGTTTCCTTCAAAACATACAGTATGTGTTGTTGCAGTTCACTTGTGCTTTGGCATGCTGCTCAAACTGCCAACTCTGGGGCTGACAAATGTCCATTTGAGGCTGGCTCCAAGAGCAAGTCGGTCCCCATAGACTTGTGTATTAAAATGCCCAACTTTACTGCAGAAATAAACATGTTTACAGCCTGGCTTTGCCTGCTAGGCTTCACCTCAGTTAATTGGGGTCACTCAACTGGACCACTTGACTGTATTTCTGTCAAGATCAGTAGAGTCAAAATATGATTGCTATTTCATCTACGGTAATTTATATCCGGCTGTGCTGCAAGGATCACGTTCCACAAACATGTGTGGAAGGCCTAAGGCAGGGACAGCGGTGGTACAGAGCAGGCAACAATGACATCGATGAGACTGAGGTAGTCAGGCATGGTGTGAAGAGGAGGGACCTGATAGAACGTGGGTTGCAAAGCTTCTTGCAGAAGCAGCAACAGCCATATGGATGGTAAAGAAGCTTAAATATCTAGATTGATATGGGGTTTACCAAAAGGATGTGGAGAAGGGTATTAGATGTGCTAGCTGCTTAATGAGGCCCATTCCCAGTTTCTAGTACCATAATCAGTTATCTGTCCAATAATATGGCAGTTATGATCACAAGTCTGTACCTGTGTCATTACCTGTGCAGTTTATGAATACAGCTTAATAACCAAGCTCTGCTAATGCTAACATCTCATCCAAGCAAGGTCTGAAGCTGAAGCTTTAAAATGTGCAGACACCAGCGTGACACGACATGCTGTTTGTGGACTTTAGGCAGGTTTTCAATTCCTGATTAACTCATTCACTGCCATTGACGTCTATAGCCGTCAATTGCAGTGAATGAGTCAATGGGTTTAACTCATTCACTGCCAATGGCTGGCAGTGAATGAGTTAAATATTGCAGTTTGTTACATTTCACATTTAAAAGTTATACACAAACATTTAGTGCCATTGAAAGAATGGTAGCTGGGCAGGTCAGTGCATTAACACAGATTAATATGTCCAGTTGCAAATGTACTTGCATATACTTTGGTACATTTTTTGATGCACCTTCACTAGTACTTTCTTTTCAGCTACTGAATATCAAGCACCGACGATGACAAAGTGCTTCTAGAAGAAAAACAAATATTTTGAAGTCCCCGTCTAAGTGAATGGGGTAAAGGGGCATATGTTTAGCTTTAAAGATCACTGGGCTGTTGTAAGGATGTGGATTGTTGGACCCAAATGCAGAATGCAGGTGACAAAAAAATGAAATAAAAGATGAGTTTTAAAAGCTGAGGAGAAGTTCATGACAATAATGTCCAAAATGGAGTTTGTTATATAACCACGAGTGGCATCGAATAACCCAAGACTGCACACAAAGCTGTACAAACTAACCCTTGAACAATATAACAGTCAGCACTAAGCACTGAAAACTCATATAATAAAACAGGAACTAAAGTGTAAAGTTACTACAATGATAATGAAAACAGAACATGAATCAAACCTCACCCTCACAATAATCAGAAACTTAGAGGGCTTTAAAAGCAATAAAACTAAATCCTGTACAAACCCGAGCAGAGAAATATTAAAGGATCCAACGCTTAACTCAAGAAAACTGTAGGATTATGACATGAAAGTAAAGAATCACCAATAAGAGCCAATAAAAAGCGTTTCAGAAGTTTGGCGTCTTTGCACCAAAACAAGGATTAAAAAGGTTTTTCCCTCCTGAAAAACTTACTATGCACAGGCACAGGTCAACGGCCGCCTTTGGCAGATCAGACTTCTCCCAGATTCCCAGATCTCCTTCTTATTTAATATCTCCTTATCATCCATCCATCCAATTCAATTTCAATTTTATTTATATAGCGCCAAATCACAACAAAAGTCGCCTCAAGGCGCTTCATAGATACAGAGAAAAACCCAACAATCATATGACCCCCTATGAGCAAGCTCTTTGGCGACAGTGGGAAGGAAAAACTTCCTTTTAACAGGAAGAAACCTCCGGCAGAACCAGGCTCAGGGAGGGGCGGGGCCATCTGCTGCGACCGGTTGGGGTCATCCATCCATCCATCCTCTTCTGCTTATCCACTTCAAGATCATGTGGGAAGCTGGAGTCTCGTTGGGTGATGTAGACCTTTATCATTAACACATGATACGGCTACATAATGTACCCACTAACTACATACTAATTAAACTCCATCCATCACAGCTGTGAAATGCTACACGTTAAAACACACTGACAGTTTATTTTTATTTTTATTATAGATTTTAATCACTTTTAGCTGATGATAGTTTTAGTGTTTCAATACGGGGCTTCTGCTGCTTTTACACACAAGTAAAATGATTTCTTCTTCCACCCTTTATGGCAGCAGGATGGAGATGACTCAAAATAAACAGAGTGTGCGTGTTGATGGTGTTGAAGTACACGTCAGTCAATGTTAACAGCTTCTGTACAACAAGGAGCTCTATGTCGATAAGGCACTAAGCTGTTTAAGGCTTTAGTTAAACAGGAGGCTTTACTGGCACAGAGAGAAATCTAACATAATGCCTACATTCTCCTTTAATCTTGCTTAAAAAATGTTCTTTGTGTATCTAAAGTGCTTCTTGAGATTATTTTTCCACTGTGTGACGAATGACAAAATCAATAGCTTGTGAAATAAGTGTGAAATATGTCACATGGGAGTAAAAATAGACATAGGAATACTTTCCAGGGCCGGTTTGACCCGACCTTGGCTCGAACAGATGTATGGCAGCCTCTCAGGGACCCTGCACTCTATTGGTCTAACTAAGCTCATGCAATTTTTAATAACATCCCAGATTCCTTCATTAAGGCAGGACATTACTTTATTGCTGATATTAAGAGCCGCTGGTGATGATGCCTGGAGAGTCCACCGACGCAACACCCTCAGAGAGCAGACCACGAATATCCTGGTGACCACATGTTGACCCTGTCGGATTAAGTGCTGGGGCACAGAGATAAAAGCCTGCAAGAACATGCCATTGTAAGGAAGACCGGAGAAATTTCAGGGAAAGTAGCAGAGAGATATTAGAGCAGACAGATATGTGCTCCAGGGGCGAGTAAAGCAGGAGCGAACACAGTAAAGAGCCTCTTGAAGAGATGATTTTTCCTTTTTTTTTTCAAAGAAGAGAGGATAAGGGTGTGCTGTTTTGGATGTTGTGTGGGGAGGTCACTCGACCAGTCGAGAGCCAGCAGGGACAAAAAAGTCAAAACTGAGCAAAGACGTGATCAAACAGTGACAGTGTGTGAAGACGTGAACTGTAGAGGGGGAGGAAATAATCTGATCCTTCAGTTAAACAAGACCTATTCTGCTTCTCCTAATATTATCTCATATATATCCTGTTCGAGTGGAGTTTCAAATCCAACAGGGCCAAAATGTTAAGTTTCAAATACGGAGGTTTGAGAATGGACAACTCATCTCTGTGAGCTCATAGCTCAGGTTTCAGAATACTCGAAACCAAAAATGGGCAAAAAATGACCCAAACCATCTCAGTCTGGCTTGCAGCATCCTACAAGGAACGCTAAACAACCCCACTGCCCAAAAACAACCCAGTAAAGGCAACATGATGCTTAAAGCCTGTACTTCTATTTAACTTGACTCTCGCTCATATGTGTTACGTTTTATCTTTAAACGCTACACTCTCAAGAGTTATAGATGCAAAATGATTTAACGTCTAAAACATCTGCATTTGTACATAAGATCTGCTAACTTTTACTTATATATATTTAAGTGAACTGTTGTTTTTTAATTAGTAAATGTTCAGTCTACTAAATGCTTATTGTAAAGCTCTATTATGTCTTCCAAAGACAGTGTTGGGAAGGTTACTCTTAAAATGTGTTCCACTACAGATTACAGATTACATGCCCCATGTATTCCGTTATGTTACTCAATGAGAGTAATGTATTCTGAATACTTTGGATTACTTAATATATTATCATGCTTTTTACAACTACATGAATGTAGTATTGCTGTGTGATTTATTACCATTACTGAAGGACACTCGCCATACCAATACCAACATTTAAATCTTAATATAAATGAGTAACAGTAGGTGGACATTAGGTAAGGCTGCACTTTTTGCAGCGATCTCGTATAGAAAACTATTCCGCGCGTATATAAAACAGGTCCGCGGCTCCGAACCGTAGTAAAGGGACCTCTGGCTAATACGTCGGGTTCGTGTCGGGCTCGTAGCCGAAAACTAGCTTTACTTTGTTGTCTGGGTCAACTTTCAGCGAGAGGCGTTGAAAGGCTGCTCCAACGGAACTTATTGTTTCAGAGGAAAACAGAACACAGTGTACAGTCGAGTCTTAATAGCTTACTTACAACTGGGCTCGTCAGGCTCTCTTTTTGGCTGCAGTGGTTATTATTATATTTACATGCTTCATACATGCTATGCCTGTAACACTCTGCCTATTGCCGTCATGTTAAATCCTTTTTTGAACAATAATTTTTAAAAATATTTTGTCACACCATTATGCGGGCCGCAGTAGAGGTGACATGGGCCGCGAGATTGAGACACAGACATTAGAGCCTCTTAATGCGTGTTTTGTTTGGGTTTCCACTGGAGTGAAATGATCAGAAATAGAGAGAGCATAGCCTAACATATGAAACAGGAAAAGACCGCCGTGTAATCCATTAATTTCAACAAAGTAACTGTATTCTGAATACTACCTTTTTAAATGGTAACTGTTTACAATTCCTCATATTTTGTACTTTAAATACGTAATGCCGGCACATGTATTTCGTTACTACCCAACACTGACCAAGGCTCATGTTTGCCTGCCCCAACAAAGTGTTGTTAAAACTTTTTGCTTCAGAGGGGCAGCCAATCAGAAGAAAGCTGGCTTGGTTCAGGACTGGAATGAGTGCAGATTTTGTTTGAACATTCTGGGCACACATTAAGTGCGAAGGGTACACTGATCCTCTCTTTTACCTGCCTGTCGACCTGGGACCTCCCCTGTTATTCATGTCCAGATAATCCCAAGTAAGACAATTTCATTCCATCACTCTCTTTGGCTCTCGGAGGAGGCGGACGCACTTTTTCTCCTCTCCCTTATCTTCCCTGCTTATGTCCGTGTCTGGTCTCGTGTTTTTTTGTATTTTCCCTGAAACACTCTCTCACAGTCTGTTCTCTAAAACCTAAAAGAGGAATTATGGATTGGATCAACTGGTCCCTAAATGCAATTGACACCCCTTTCTCAACGAGAAGTTTGGGCTTGGGTGAGCCTGAGTGCTGAAGATATCTACCTATTCGGAACCATGGTAACAGGGTTCTGGCTGATCGGAGCTGGCTTGGCCCTGACTTATCGAAGAATTAAGAAAGCGGAACCGGCTGTTCAAACCCCCACAAGGCTGCCCGCTGGGATTGGAACGATGGGAGAGGCGTGAGTTTCTCAAAATGGGCTCTTTGAGTCAGCACGGATAAGATCTTGGAGAGGCTACGGCTGCTGTGAATACTCAGAACAAGACCTCTGACTGCAGACTGGATACAGTCTCGCTCGGAATAACATCTCGGGGCACAAATTGGACTGCCGTGAGTTCTCAGAAATCGGCTCCTTGAGCACAAGAAATGACAACATCACAGAACGCAAGTATGGCGAAGCTCGCGGCTCTCCAACGGGAGATTGAGAGACCAGTGTTGGACTGTAGAACTGCTTTGAGATTCAGATGAGCTGTTCGCACTAAAGTAAAAAATACCATCACTTATGTGGATACCCCTTTGGTGCCAGCTGCAAGGCTGGAGCTGAACAAAACACCCTGATAACGACTGTGTTTAGTCTGTTCCTTCCCATTCCTACCCCGGATCCAACGCCACCTCCAACGCTTACCTCCCCTCTGATGTGGACATCGGATCAGCTGGAGGCGCAGTCGAAAGATTGCAGCGGTCCCAGATCAGATGTACACACTGGAACTCTTTCCCATGTTGCTTGTCTGTGTTTATTGTGCTATGGTGTGTTGATATCTGTGCATTATTATCCTTCTGTGTTACACATTTTGATGTTTTTTTTCCCTCGCTACCTAGCCTGACCTGTCTCCCCAATGTGATGTTTGTATTGTATGTACGGTCGGCAAGGTCTGTCATCTCGGTTGTGGGCAAAAGACCTGCAACTGACAAATAAAGGCCATCTCATCATCTCCCATCTCATCATCATCAGAGTACTAGATACTTCAGAGATTAACTTGGCCAGTCAAAACTCCCTCTCTCATCTTCTACAGAAGTACCAATAACCAGTTTGAGCTGGATCTGTCTTTTGAATCCGATCTCTATTCTAATATTTTGTATATTCAAATGATATCAATACATGTAGATGAAAAACAATGCATTTATATTAGGACATATCTGTAAAGGTGATTGTGGTAGAGTAAAAGTGCAACATGTTCCTCTGTGTAAAATTACAAAATAGAAAAAGCGTACTCCTCTAATTCTTACATTTAAGCACAGCACTGGATCGATTCTACTTATCTACATTGCACCAGGGGACTGAGGACAGTATTTTGGATGCTCAGACAGGAGAGGGTTAGTCCAGATGAGAGCTGAGCAAAGCTCACACGAGTCCCCAGCTATTCTGTAAAATCTCGAGGACCTTTCACATGAGCCCCGCTGAAGGGCTCAGAATCACAAGGGACGGCTGGCAGGGCGAGGGTGAGTCACAAAAACACATATCCGAATGCTGAAGGAGAAGTCTTTCTTGGAGCTGACATACAGTTTAGAATGAAGATTAATCTCAGCTGTGATTTGACGGCAAACTGGATGCAGATGAGAGATATTTTCAGTTCAAGTGACAAGACAGATTTGCAAAAGCTGATTTGTGATGAAAGGCACCCACCCCAGGGGGTGGAAATAGCCTAGTGTAAGAGATAATTCCTTCAAGACTGAACATATATTTGGACTTTATTCATGTTTTTATGCCTGAAGTCCAAAATGAGTCCCAGAGGTTGTCAAGTTAAACGTTAATCTTGATAGAGCTAACGTCGGGCCGGCTCATTTATCATTGAAATATGTGTTCAACTTTCCAACTTTTCACGCCTGTCAGGCATTTCAAAGACATAATGAGGACTAATTGTACCTGCAAATTATGTCGAGCAGGTTTGAAGCACATGCTACTACTGAAGGGCAAAAAAAGAGACTCTTACCACTAAAACCAGAATCATGGGACCTTGATAGATGTAGTCGGTGTACACGCCAGCTCGCTTCCCAAACCAGCACCTGAAATGTCAGCAAAAGCAATCAGTCATGGTTTGTTCTAACGAGCAGGTCCATTTATATTGTCACTCATCTCCTCCCCTTCGGTATGTGTTGGCATTCATTTCCCAATGTGTGCTCAAGGGGTTTAAACATGTGTTTTCCAGTCAGTGATTCACCCAAAATATGAGTTATAGCCAGATTATTTTAGCCAGAGGTGGGAAATACTCTCAGGACTTTAACCCTTTAAAACAAGTAACATTTAAGGGCTTCTGCCTTAATATAAATGAAAACATCTGCCAGCGTCGTGAGAACAGAAGAAAGGATCTTATGTAATTTTCTTGAAATGAATCAAGAAGGAATAAGGCAGCTGGTGGCAGCTGGCCCCTGCGGTTTTCATCAAATCGTACTCAAACAGGATTAAACCGAGCATTTGTTGGGGACTATTTTTATCTGTGTAATAATACAAACAGCACTCTTCCACTACCTGTGCCACACCCTTGTTTGTACAGCCTCTACTCTTAATATACTGATATTCGTGCGTAAACAGGGGCTCCAGTAAGTCTGTGTTCATTGATGAATTACGAAAAATGCTCCTTGAGCACAAACTGACCCCTTAAAAATGAAAGAACCACAGAGTGACTCTGTTTCGATAATTAACCCTCTGATCTCTGAGTCCTCACTGATAATGAGTTTTAAATAAAAGTTCTCCAAGTTTGTGGCATTCCAGAAAGGAAAAGCACAATAGTACACACAAATAAAAAACTGTATCCCCCACCCCTACACGAAAAATCCCATGTCTCTATCTGAGGGATTGTGTTTCATCATCGGCAAAGATTTAGGCCTAAGAGTTAAATCAATGGTAATCTTTTTCTGGAGGATTTCAATCAGTTTGTAGAGGAATGGATTAACTTAGCGTCTTGCTGTATTTCTTTTGAATTTTGTGTGTTTGCTCTCCATCATCTCTGCAGCCTGGTTGCATTTGTTCCCTCTCTCCTCATACCGTCGACATGGTTTTGTATCTGTGTATATCACTGGCCTTCATTTGATTTGCTGTTTTCTTTTCACGGAGCACTCTCATTCGTTCACGTGTCATATTTTGCTTCCGTGTTGTCGGGGTTTGTTTAGCTGATTGCTGCCTCGTGTATCTGGGAGGTTTGCGTTCCCTCCTTCAGCTGTCAGGTCTTTGTTTGCGGCCTGGGTTCTTTTTGTTGTCATTTTGTTTGGTTGTTGCTTTCCTTGAGCTTTGCTTATTTGGATCGTGTGTTTTGCTGCTCAGCTGAGCCCTGTACTGTATGATGCAGGTTGATATACTGAGGATATCTTCAAACTGTGCATGTCAGTCTCAACCTAAAAACTGCAAAGCAGTGTAAGCGCTCACACGGAGGCGTTTAACAACTATAAGACCACAAGTCACAAACTAAAAGAAGGAAAGAAAAGCTTGCAAAATGACTTTTAAAGGCTTAGAGTTAGACTTGAACTACAACGGTGACTTCCATTAAATTATGTGTTGTTTAGATCTTTTCATGGAGTATAATAGATAGTATAACTTTAGCCTTCTTCTGTAATTCTTGAGGTAAAAGGGTTGGTTCTTATATTGTATAGTACTTTTGAGTATTCAAAGTGCTTTATGCAACATGTCTCATTCACGCAAGCACTTCCTTTCTACAGCTAAGTGCTGTTTATCTAATACTCACACCTTGATGAATGCATCAAGGCCAGTTCTGGGTTCTCTGCAAGGAAACTTGCAGACTAGATTCTATTGTCTTCTATATATGCTTGTCAGAGAAATCCAAAAGGTTTAAATTCTCTCCATGCAAAATGCTTTGTTGTATCTTCTCTGAGTAGTGAGTAGTTATGCAGCATGATGCTGTAACGCAGTAAGAAGTGAACAAGCTCTGTATCCCTGAAAACTTCTGGTTAAGGTTAGAGTGAACTGTATCGTTAGCCTTTAGTTCTCTGTTTCAGTGTTTTTACATTAGTTTTCTGTTTAAGGCAAGCTTGTAGAGTTTTTTGTAACCTTTCTAGTCTTGGATCTTTCTGTGTCAAGTTTATGTGTGCTTCTGTGTGAAAACACTTCCTGCTTTATCTCGGTAGTCTCTTGACCTCTGTCTTTTCGTTACCATTGATTAGCTTCACCTGTTTCTTGGTCCCCAGCTGTTTCCACTCCTCATTAGCACACAGCGCGTTCGTCTGTGTGTACATGTACCTCGTCTTTCACTTAGACCTAGTTGTAATGTGCTGTGCTGCCTGGATGTTATTACTTTGTATCTGGGACTTTGTTTTGGATTCACGTTGGAGTTTTTATCATCCAAATAAACAGCTTGTCTTTCGTTTCATCAAGAGTGCCTCTGAAGTCTGCGTTCATTCTTCACAGTCAGTTTCAAGACATCAGCTAGACCGGAGACGTCAACAACCTTCAGCCTGACTGCATCATTTACTGGGAAGTGTTAAGTAACACTAATATGGTGCCAAGCAAGCTAACGAGGTCCTTGGAACCCAAATATCACTTCTGAGGGAAACACTGCTTTCTGTAAAACATAGAAATGGTGTGAATATTTGACTGTTCAATCACACCCACGGTCTTGCACTGGTCAGTGGGATAAAACTTTACTCGGTTTAAATGAGCTGTGTAAATGAGCTGTCTGTGCAGTCTTAATGTTTCGATAGGCAACTCGCTGTCAGGAAAATCTCATTAATGCAGTTGCGTATACTTTTTACTTATCTTTGTGTATGTTTCCCTCTGCAGACACTTTCTCTGCTGCTGATGGGAGCTGGAACCAAATTTCTTGAATGTGTCATCAGACTTGGCCATTAAATTGATTCCGATGCATTCACTGCTCTAGCGATTTTTATATTTCTGGCAGCAGGATGGTTTGTGTGGGGGGACTGAATCAAAATAAACTACAGCGTATGCTCGTGGTAATGAAGGAATATGTCACTCACAGTTTTTAACAGTTTCTGGACCACAGCAGAGCTCAGAAGCACAGGGGAGTCAGATTTAGGACTTTGGAGAATCTGGTTTTGGCCTTTTAATTGCATTTGGTGACAATTAGAGAAATCTAGCGTATCAACCGACTTTTCCAATTATTCAGCGCCCGTTTCTAAATTGCCGAATCAATTTTCACCTCACTAATAGGTGTGAAAAGAGAGCAAGCACTCCCAATGAAATGCTGGCAGGGCTCGAGTCTAATTAAGAATATTGTACAATGCAAATGTGATTACGGCTGATTATTAATAGACATTCATCTCCCTAATGTAACGCTTTGCCCTTGTCCTTTTATTACCCGGATAGAATAAAAAGTTCCTTGTTGAATATCTTGAAAAGAGGCTTACTTCTCATTGTCGTAGTAGAGCTTCCCGATGGCCCACGCCACGATTATCGGGAATGGTATACCTGTAAGGCAAAAAAACACAAAATGACAGGTGGTTCTTTCATCTTTCTCTGCTATTCAAATCACAAAATATCACTCCAGGGATTTCATGCTGGAATATGAAATCCTTTTCTTTTTTTAAAGCACAGCACCAGTGACTGCCAAGCTCTGTCAGGAGCAATTGTTGTCTGTGTGCCGTGATCCACAGATGCAAGCCAAGACTTGTCACCATCTGAATGTTTCTTTGTGAATGAATAAAAAGCTGGACTCTGGCTGACGATAATGCGGAGTGATCTCGTGATTTACCGACTTATAAAAGCTTAATAAAGCAGAAAAAACAGCCATCACTCACTTTTAAATGATACTAACAGGAGCGTCAAGACCCTACGAGCCAACGAGTCACACATTTAAGTCAAATCTCTGGAATATTTCCACGCTGCGGGAAATTTACTGTCATCAGCAGGAAATTCTCCCCTCACAGCTCCAGATTACTTGATAAATTACATTTTTCTTGCAGTGTTCTCCTCTTGTCCACCTCCTGACTTGTGGAAAGCAATGATGTCCTCCCGAAGCCAATGATCCAACATATAGCGAAGCACAGAAAATCTGACCTTATTTATTTTGATGAAATGTGCTGCGGTCTGTCCTTCACACCGAGCCTTCACATCATCCCCGGAGGGAAATGTAATCCAGCTAGACAATACACCTAATCTCAACAACTCAAAGTTTAGTTTGACAATGTGAAACAGGCTGACAGTGAACTGCACACCAAGGCATTTTCCAGCTGCCGCACAAAATCCTGAGATCTCCATCAAGTCAACTGCCTCCTGCTGTTTGATAAAATAGCATCTGATGTTCAGCTACGTCTTTTGAGATGAAACTCACAGCTCTGAAATTCATAGTTGGACTCTGAGATATCTCTTTGATAAGGTTTTAGTCACACGGGCCTACAGGCTGGTCAGCGACCCCCCGGCAACTACAGCTTTCTAGTGGCCGGCAGGTTGGTGGAGTTTCGATATATTTGTAGGCCTGTGTGACTGGGCCAACACACTCCCATTAGTCAAAGTGAATCTAACCCTAAAGCATTTAGTGTCCTTAGCTTGACATTTTGGGAATTCTTTCTGAGAGATTAGTAGGAAAATTAAACCTACTTTCTTGACTTTAAGTTTTAAATTAGTTCCAGAAGAGGTTAGTTTAATGCTGGAACAACTACTTTACTGTTGCCTCACAGCAACAAGGTCCTGGGCTTGACTTTGTGTGCAGGGTACTCGAACAGTACAGACATGCAGTTATTGTGGATAGGTTAATTGGTGATTCTAACTGAATGGTTGTGTCTTTCTGTGCGTTAGCTCTGACAGTGGAAGAATAAGCTAGATGAACCTTTAGAGGTTATATATGGCTCTCAAACCAAGCTAGCCACCATCTTTTATCTGTATTGTCATGATGTCGGTGTAGCCCAGCTAGGAAAAAAAGAGCAGTAGAAAGTAATTTTTGGGTGTATGATGTAAACGATTTAGTCATTTCTTTTTTTGGGTTAAAGGAAGAAGTGGACAAATCAGATGATTTGTTGCCTTTTCATTCCTGTTCATACAGTGCCATGTGCTCGGCAAACTAATGTTACTCCTCGCTAGGAGTTGCAACGGAGTCTGCTGCAGTTTTTTTGGTTGTTCCGAATTTCACCCTGTTCAACGTCAGGTTTTTTGTTATCTGGTCAAAGGATGACTGGACAGACGAACGCAGTCTGAAGCAAACCTCCATCGAGGAGCAGTGATTCCACAGTTCCAGTTAAGTGGAACCCAAAAGTGGATAGGATTTGCTGAGGTTTTATTGAAGCCAGAGCTTCGTTCCCATTGAAGCTTCCTTCACCGGCGTGTGGTAGGACAACAGTTAAACAAACTGAACGGCCCCAAGCATCCATCAGTTATCCAACATTATTCATTCATACATTTGACTCAGAGAAAGCTGTATGCGCACACTTTTATTTAGTTTGTTATTTTTTGGGGGAACTATTTTGTATTTTATTGTTTCAAGTACATTTATTTGCAGCTGCTGTGTCAAATATAACAAGCTGTGCACTGTTTACCCTGGTGTGGTCCTTCCTTATTGATGCTTATACCTTGGGCTCCTGTCAGTCCTAGATTATCTGATACTGGCCTAGTGGGAATTTGGTCATTCTTGCTAATAAACCACAAGTAGGGTTACATCAGGTTTCTTTTGCTGTTTTATTTTGAACTGCTACAATTTTGTTAGTTACACTTGTATTAAGCCTTTTTATCACTCTATTAAGAAGTGTTTGATGTTCCACTTAATGAGATTTATCTAAACTGCTGTTATTAAACCAGTTGGTTTGCTTTGTAAAAAATTCCACTGCATCTTTCTCAAAGTATGCATGAGTGTGGCTTCAATCCAGTACTGATGTACTGCTAATGCCACTTGATGGTGTGTGAATGTATTAGTTCTTTCAGAGTTTCATCATATTTGCATCCTTGGGTGCGTCAGCTGGTGTCAGATATTTGTTTGTTTTTCCCTTGCTTTGTCTGTTTATACATATTTTAATATGCCTGAACTAGTAAAAAAGCTGTTTTCATATATTTTTGTGTGCGTCAGATGACTGGAGTACGACACTGAGCCTGCAATGCAGCCCTTTAAAACTGGATTTTACACCACCATCACCTTTTAAGCCATTTACAAGCTGCTGCACCGTCCTGATTTATTGTAACTTGTTTTTAGTCAATGATGATTAGGCTTAGTTTGGTAAGTAGATAAGATTTGTTAAAAAGCTCTTAGATTTGTCATTAAGTGGTTATTTAAGCAAAGAAAAAAAGACTCTTAGTGGTCCAAAAATCTACTGAACTGATCTGGTAACTATGAGCCAATTTAATCAGACAGAATTTTGGTAAATGTTTCCCATTTTCCCAAAATGTCCTTGTTAAATATTAACTGATAACTGTAGAAGTGTTTTGCAGATAATTCAAGATAAAAGCAGTAAGGCTGCTTACACCAGCCGATGCAGATGAACATCCACTTGCGGAGCTTGTCGGTGGAGTAGGTGAGGACGATGGCGGTGTGGAGGTAGCAGCCCTCTCCAAACATCCAAAAGAAGTTGGTGGAGTGGAAATAGTTGAAGGAGGCGGTCACAAGGCGACACCATATCTGCAAAATGAAAACAATTATCTGCATTTAAGCAGACTTAAATGTGTAGTTACTGAATTAAATTCAGCCAAGACAAACTGATAATACTTCTAAAAACTGCCATATCTACAAGCTGTTATCCATGGCTTCGTACTTGCTCTTGTTCTAGTCTTACTTCCACCTGACAAATTAAAGGCAAAAATGTAAATATTTCTACATTCTGAGAACAATTTAAACTAATCAAGCTTAAACTTATTATGGAACACATACTTTTATACCTTAATGAATTAATTTGTTTCTTTTTTGTTATGTCCAATAAATAATTTAATTCAGTAAACAAAAATATTTCAATCTAACTGTAACATATAGACTTTATATCCATTATTTACATGGTCCAGCCTGGTTCTGCCAGAGGCTTCTTCCTGTTAAAAGGGAGTTTTTCCTTCCTAGTGTCACCAAGTGCTTGTTCACAGGGTCGTTTGATTGTTGTTGGTGGGGTTTTCTCTCTAATATCGTAGGACCTTTACCCGACAATATAACAGGTGACTGTTGTAGTGCTTGTTGTTGGTGATGTATCAGTGAGATTGGACTCAACTGAATTGAATAAAAAGAGTAAAAACATAATTTTCCTACACAGGCTGACACACAGAGGTCTACCGGCATTAGTTTCACACCTGGATTAATACATATGTTCTTCTTCCATCAGCAGGACTGTTTATGGGATTAAGTCAAACTAAGCTAGAGAGTTCTGGCGCTCAAGGAACATTTCACCCAATAAATATATTTGGCTCATCTCATTTTGTTTTTAAGGCATTAAAAATACTGTTAAACATCTCCTTTACTTTAAAACCAAAGTTTAGGGGTTTTTTGTATTAAAGCTCACATAAATGGGCTCATACCACGTTGCTCTCATGCACCTCGGGGCTCATGGTCATTTGGACGATGAACCAGGTGGCGTTCCTCAGGATGAAGGCGGTTATGAGGTTCCAGTGGATGATGTTTCTCAGGCAGCGGATGCTCCTGTGAGAACAGAAGGAGGGAAAACTCAACTGCTGATGCTGCTTTTCCAACATTTCTCTTGTTGTTAGGTCACGAGCTTAATTTAATTCTGAGAGGAAAGATAAAAAAAAAAAAAGTAGTTTAAAAGCAAACATGTGAAAGCTGGCAGGAAATATCTGATTTAATTATCTCCTCCTGCTGAGTTTGAGTCTATTTGAGTCAGTTTCAGTGTAACTCCAACATTACAAATTATAATATCGGAAACACAGAAAATGAAGCTGATAGATAAGAATAACGAGCTGATGTAGCCTCAAAAGGAACATTTCCCATCAATCCTCACTTATATAATAAGAAGTAAGACTTAATTCCCGCTCTACTCTTTTGTTTGTGTAATGCCCTGAAAGCCTGATGTTTTTTTTCTTTTTTTAAATGCGGTAAATAAATTCACTCGGGGATACAATTAAAATCTGCCCAAGTGCCTCAGAGCGGGCGCTTGAAAATAGAAACATACGTCTGCACGGACTGAGCAAACCATCCTCGCTCGCTGCAGTGACGGCCGCGTTCGCTGTCACCAGCTGACGGCATTATCAGCCGGCGAAGGCCGCTTCCTCTTCTGCCAAGCATGAGTGACGTGATTTATTTTTCAGCATGCATTAATTCTTAATAGGTGTCACTTTCACTGGCTTTGTGCTGACTGAGCAGATGCATGAGCAGCATTTTCCAGCAGCATTGTATTTACTTATTTATTATATTGCACGTTGTACAAATTGTATCATGTTTTTTATTTCTCTCTGAAGACGCTCTACCCCATTAGTAACATAGCAGGCTTCAAAAAGCTCGAACACCGTTTGGATTAATTACAATGTCATTTTAAATAAGGTTTTAAAAGCAGCCTTGAGATGATAAAAATCAAATAACTTTGTGTTTTTTAAATCCCGTTGTTCCACAAATGAGAAGATAATTTCCCCACATCATGTTATAATGTTGCCACCAGGCCAGGAGCACAGCAAGCACCTCACTGCCCTCGGCATGCTGTCTGTGGGGGCAGTGTGGCCTGATGGGACCTAATTAAGAGAATGGCTACATGCTCCTGCAAACAAGTCTTTGTTAAAGGCACAGTAAATTTGTTTTTTTTCTTCTAATCTCACAAATTTTTAAAATGTTATTATTTTATATTACAATCTTACTTGATCTGGGGTTTTATTCATGTGATACTGAACATACAGGTCCAGAATCATACGACAACCGCAGACACAAATTTGTAGCTTTGCATCTGTACGCCACCACAATAGATTTTAAATCAAACCACCAAGATGTGATTCAAGTTCTGTTTAGAAATTACTGCCATTTTTATACACAGTCCCATATTTTAGACAGTAATTGATCAGTCGGCTGATGAGCAGCTACATGTCTGAGTCTTGTTCCCGTTGTTATTTTGTAAGAAATTAAGCAGATGAATGAGCTCGAGTTGATTCCAAGTCTTGAACCAAGTAACTCTTAGTATGAAGGACAAAAAGGTTTCCATCATTAGCCTGAGATCACAAAATAAACCTATTAGAGACAGAGCAGAAACCTTAGGACCTGCCAAATCAACAAACCTGGTGCATTCTTAAAAATGAGGAATGCACTGGTCAGCAACACCGAAAGGCCCGAAAGGCCACAGACGACACCTGAAGTGCATTTAGACAGAACTATTTGACTGAACTGAGGTTTACTGAGGTTTCAGAACAAGGTGCAAACCACTGGTTACACTGAAGATCAGGAAGGTCAGATTAGACTTTGAATGGAAAACATCTAGAAGAGCCTGAAGAGTTCTGGAAAAATAAATATATAAATGAAACAAGGTGAAGAATGATGGGAAAAAATGAGAAGGTGTTTCTGGACTTTTAGGTTCTCCTTCATTAAGATTTCTTTGTTCTTAGCTTGATTATTACATTTATATGTATATATTTTAGCTAGTTTGATCTCTCAGTGTCTCCCTCCGTTCATTCAGTTTACTCGCATTCAGCTTTAATTTGCTAATCATATTCTCCCATGTATTGTCTCTGGTTTTACCTCCTGTCTGTTGTTTACCTTGATCATATTCAGCTGTGTTTAGTTTCCCTCCTGTTTCATGTGTATTTATAGCCTGTTTTTAGTTGTGTCACGCTGTGTTTCAGCCCTGTGAAGTTCCTAGGGTGTTCCCTGCTGGTTTCTTCTGTGTTTTTGGACGTCGGCCACAGTAAAGATTCACTTTTTGTTTTCTTCTAGTCTGACTCTGCAGTTTGCATTTAGGTCTCATCTCCATGCATTTCCCGACACGAGGAGAGAAACAGTTCCTAATCTGAAGCACACCACATCATGGAGGGCATCGTATGGGCGTGCACGGCTGCCAGCAGAACTGGGTCACTAGTATTTATTGATGATATGACTGCTGATAGAAGCAGTGGAATGAATTGTGAAGTATACAGGGCTGTACTCTCTGCTTAGATCAGACAACCCTTCACAGTGCAAATAGATAATGATCCAAAGCAAACTGCAAAAGCAACCCAAGGAAAAGAAATGGGACATTCTTCAACGGACACATCAGTTACCTGATCTCAGCCAAACAGAGCAGAAGGCACAGAGGGAAGAGAACCCACAAACAAGCAGCAACTGAAGGTAGCTGCAGGCAAAGCATCTCAAGGGAGGAAACAGCATTTTATCACAGGCTGGACTTCAGACAGTCAGACACTGCAAAGGATTCACATTCATGTTAGTTTGTCCAATTGATTTTGAGTATCTTAATATAAAACGCCAGTGACAGTGCTACTAATATGAAGTTATAACCAGTCAACACTACGAAGGAATTGGCTCCTTGACCAATCACAGTGTCCTCCTTTTCTGTTGACAGGAAATGGTCTCTAAAATCAGAGGGTGCCAGTTTGAGTTGCTATCATGGTAGCTGTCCTAACACGATTTTTTAAAGCTTTCTTTAACGTTCTTTCTCCATTTATTGATAAAAGGATTAAATAAAACATTTATCGTGCACATTTTTTGTCCCGGACATTATGTCATTGACGTTGTGTCGCTGATGTTGGCCCAATTTTCATTTTGGAACTACTTTTCCGCCGAGGCTAGGCGTTGAGAAAAGATGGTCATCTGGCAGGTACTCAACGTCAAAATGTTTGCCGGGTAGTTTTCCCAAATCCTGCAAACAGGGGGAGAGACTGACAGACGACAAGAACATAACCCTCTTGGCAGATGTAATAATCCATTTGACACACCAGGAAAAAGAAAGATTCTCCAGAGGAAACGATGTTCAGTCTTCTGCTGAAAATAGAAATGTGGTCTCAGCTCAGATGGTGCTGGATTTATGCTCAGCATGGCCACTGTGTTCCCAGTAATTCTGCTGCAGACACTGTTTGGTATGCAGGTAAGATCACGATGACATTTTAGAAGATTTGCTGACTTGGCCGCTGCTGTGCCCCGCTCTTAAATGAGGACAGTTTGGATTTCTGGCTTTCTCTGAGAGTTTCTTCCAGATATATTTGGAGCACAAAACTTAACTTTGCTTCTCAGCGTTCACAGTTCACAGTTTTGACAGTGTGAACAGTAAGAAGATGGATCCCTGGTAATCCAAGTGGCCCGGGTGGCCTATTTTTTTTTTTAACCTGAATTATTGCACAGTAAGCTTTTCACTGTAAGTATTGTGCCATGTAGCACACTCACAGTCTGCAGTGAGGAGCTCCACTGCTGGGCTAAGATTCACTGCAGTCAGATCAACTCGAGGAGTCGGTGTTATAGATTTGTCCGCGCATGTAGGGAAAACGTGCGAATCCTGAGGTGCATTTCAATAAGAAACACCCGGTTTATGATGCTGTTACATGCGCCACCAGTGACAGCTATAACTCTTAGAAACCTGATACAACATTTAGGAGGCTGAATGAGTTCCACTTTCTGATTCTGGGTCAGTTTTGGATGAATAACTGAACTGAAATGACAGTTTTTACAGCTGAGTATTTATAGGCATCAACCAAAGTGGGGCAGCAGCTGCTCAGCAGGTAGAGCTGCATGTTCACTCGTCGCAGGGATGGTTATTTACTGACTTCTCTCAAATGGTCCTTGAGCAAGACGTGTCACATTTGTTGAGACTCAAACGAACACATGCTTTTTTATATAAACAAGTCAGCCGGCTAAAATCAGGGAGCTGAATGTTTTCTGTTGAAGAGGTGCCATATGCTGTGTGATAACAGGGGTTTTATTGCCAGGGATCAGTGCGTAAATGTGTCCAGGAAGGGGAGAAATGGAGGTGTTCTTTGTCACGTAAAAGGAAATGAAGTATGAGGAGGTACGACCTGCTGTAACTTCAGGATTTTGGCATCCAGCTGCTGCTTTCTGATGGAGAATCTGAAAGCCAACTTCTCTTCCTCCTGACTTTTATTGCTGGTGCAGGACTTTTACTTCTCTGCGTACCTTTGCCTTTGAAACATAAACACAAATTACATTTTCTATTTGCTGTTAGGTGCAAAACACAATGACTGCTTTCCTGCAGGCCTTATTATTTATTTGTTTTCCAACTCTCTCCCCAGTTTTTGCTCCAGATTAAAGAACATTATGATTACAGTATAGATCTCATAAGTCTTCACTTCATAGTTAAATTTAGGTCAGATGTTCACAATAAGCAGCAACTTCAAAGGCTGTAAAATGAAGGCAACATCAAAGTATGCAAACTGCAGTTCCTCTAATGGCCACTTGAGGCCTGCTCCAACGAGCACTTTTGCTCTTTAGTTGTGAATTATTAGGGAATGTGGTCGTTTCGACTGATAGGTACAACCTCTGTACAACTTTACCACCTGATGGTACTACAGTGTATGAAATATTAAAATGACTGTATTCTTTTTTACCATTTGCTCTTCATATTTTATCACATTTTTTCCAAATTAGGTGCAAAAGTGTGTTTTGTGCCACGAAATAATCCACTACAATGCTGCACTCGTCCATCTGCATACCGATCAGCTGCACAACCTGATACTTGGATGTGCTGGTCAGCACCAAACATTTTAAAATGATGGCCAATTAAGCAGCGTTTCTTCCAATTTCCTGTCACTGCTTTGTCCCATTCACGCTGCTTGTTAAGTTTAAAGTTGGACAACCCACAGCTGCTGTTGACATTTCTGCTCGGAAAAACATCTTTAACTTCAGAAACACTCCTCAGTAACACTCGCCTCTTCCTATTTTCCAGTCACTGGAGCAGATATTTGAGAAACAGTGAGGTTATTGGACCTTTGTCTACAGAAACAACAGGAACAAATACTCCATCCACCTTAATCACAGTAACACCAACAGTACGCTCTGCAAGTTTGTAGCACAGGATAAATGATGGAAAGGAACGACTGAGTGTTTAGGAGGAAGATTACCTCAAATTTTTGCTACATGCTCTTAAGATTTATTAGACTTTGTTGTGTTTTTGCTTTTTGTTTTGCTTGCTTTCATTTAAAATGGTTTGATTTGTGGTCTACTAAAGCTTGTGTAGCGCTACTTAAACTGCTTGTGTCTTTGATAAAAACGAGACCAGGCACTATCTGTTATCTGTTAAAGACAGAGGCCTTCGGGTGGTGGTGGTTAACTGAACACATTAATTGATACTTCTTCATGCTGCTGGCGTTCTTGTGTTAGGGTTCAAAGCGACAGACGACCTCATTTAAAACTGCAGTCAACTAATTATCCCGAGGTCCATTTGAGCGTACCTGAAGGCACCTCGCTTTCAGGTACACAGAAAAAGTGCATTCATTTTAATTGGATAGAAATATTCCATTCGTTCAGATTACTTAATGACTTCAGCCTGATCCTTGTTTGTCAGCTAAAAATAAACAAAACAAACAAACAAACAAACTGTGTATGTTTTAAGTGATTGGTGGAACTACTCAGGTAATCACAAGGCAGTAACTCAATGCATTTAGATAAGCAGACAGGGTCACGACGACCCGCTGAAGGCTAAGTTAAGCATCAGAACTGGGAATAACGGTTATTTAAGTGACCCTGAACATGGCACGGGCTGGTCTGAGCGTTCCATCATGCAACACTGCTGCAGCATTCAGATGGTAGCGTCAAAGCTTGAATTTGAATGTTGTTGGTGGTTTCTTGAACAGGACAATGGGTTTAATGTATTCAGACGGCCTCCACAATCACCAATCTCAGTGGAATGGATCACGGCTGGGCTGTGGTGGAACATGAGATTCTCATCATGGATTTGCAGCAACTGACAAAAGGGAGTCTAACCTGGTACGAACAAGGTTTAACTAATGACAAACTGATTGTTTCTCACTCACTATGTGTTAATAGACTCTCTGCATTGAATCAGACATGTTATTAATCTCTGTCTCTCTTCCACAGCATGTCTTTATCCTGTCTTCCTTCTCTCACCCCAACTGGTCGCAGCAGATGGCCCCGCCCCTCCCTGAGCCTAGTTCTGCCGGAGGTTTCTTCCTGTTAAAAGGGAGTTTTTCCTTCCCACTGTCGCCAAAGTGCTTGCTCATAGGGGGTCGTGTGATTGTTGGGTTTTTCTTTGTAGGTATTATTGTAGGGTCTACCTTACAATATAAAGGGCCTTGAGGTGACTGTTGCTGTGATTTGGTGCTGTATAAATAACATTGAATTGTACTGAATTGAAAATTGTTCTTAATAAATTAAATATGTAAAGTTCAGATAATCAGGCTCATCAGGTGCTCAGAGACCTCCTGGTTCTTCTGAAAGCTCTGGGCTCAGTAATATCTACTGGAAATTGAAAGGTGGCATTATGTAAATCCTCATTTTGGGACACACAGTTTCCTGTTTGCTGTTTTTAAATTGGGATCAGTCATGAATAATGTGCAGCCTTGTTAAATGGGGCCTTATTATGCTGCAGCTTGCGTCCTGTGCTGTCCCGCTGATCTATATCTCAGCTGTGCTCTGAGATTAGTCTGTCTTAATGTGTATATTTATTCCACGGATTATGTTGCTTTTTGACTCCTGTGTTGTAAAAGCTCAGCTAGGGATGGGCACTGCAGATGTTGTGGTGTGTAGCATAGTTCATGCCACATACTTGTCCCCATTAAGCAGAATAAGTAAAATTCCTTCTTTTGTCTTACCAACAGCTCAAAATCCAAAGATAATCATTTATTAACAGACATTAGTAATCAAACAGTTTACTGTGCGGTTTATTAGACTACACCCACCCATGGCTTTCACTTAGGACTGAACAAATTCCAGAAGTCTAAAATGTCAAACAAAGCCAAATCAAATCCAGGCACTCATGGAGGGTAATGCACGGGGAGCATAACCAAACATAACAGACACTTTTGAGGAAGCCTGAAGTGGAAGATGGGATAATCAAAGAGGGCTGATTAGGGAAGGACCAGCAGGAGGGTAATGAGACAAGTGAAGAGAATGACAGGGACTAGAAGGACAGAGCATATTTCTCCCATGCTGGCTCCTCTTCATTGGCTCCCTGTTAGATTAAGAAGCTAATTTAACTCACATACAAGGTTTTAATCAGGCCCCATCTTATCTTAATGACCTCAAAGCACCACATGACAACAATAAAGCACTTTAAAGTGCTGGTTTACTTCTGGTTCTTTGGAGCCTCCAGATTTCAGGCCCCTCTTCTCTGGAACCAGCTCCCAGTTTGGATTCAGGAGACAAACACCCTGTCTTCTTTTGACATTGGGCTTAAAACCTTCCTTTTTGATAAAGCATATAGTCAGGGCTGGATCAGGTGACCCTGAATCCTCCCTTAGTTATGTTGCTGCTGGCTGTGTTTATACAGCTCCCTGCATTTAATCATCAGGGATTATTAATCTCTGGCTCTTTTTCACAGTGTGTCTTTGGTCCGCTCTTTCGGTTGTGCACATGGCCGCCCTTCCCTGAGCTTGGTCCTGCCTAAGCTTCCTTCCTGTTAAAAGAGATTTTTTCCTTCCCACTGTCGCCGAGTGCCTGCTCATAGGGGGCTGTCTGATTGTTGTTGTTTTCTCTCTAATCTTGATGGGTCCTTACCTTACAATATAAAGTGCCTTGAAGCGACTGTTACTGATATTTGAGGATTTATAAATAAAACTGATGGGAGACAAACAGGAAGCAGAAATAAAAACCCTATCAAAGTAAAACAAGAAGTAACCGAAGGCGAATGAAACAGACCTGGGTACTAACACTTAACAAGTGTGAGATAAGAAAACGGCCCAAAACAAAGTGAACATGGGGACAGAGATGAAGGAATCCTGGAGGACAAACAGAGACAGCGAGAAATTAAACCAACACATGAACTGAAATACACGATGCAAAACTGAGACTGATCGCTAGAATAACCATCAAAACCTGGTGATGTCACAGGAAATGAAGCCTAAGATCAACTAAAAGAGAAAAATCCAAACAATAACCTAAATTTCAAACCGTTGGGAATAAAAGTAAAAACTCAGCAGAAGCTCGAATTCATATTTTCACAAAGAATTCAAAACCAGCACAAACCCGAGGAATGTGCCATTCTGATAAATAACAGGAGATTATGAATGCAGCTCTTGGAAACAGTCAGAACTTATTAAACTTCATGTCCACGGCATAAATCTGCATTATTGTTAGATTAACGGGAGACTCGTGAGCTTCTGTGGAAAGAATCCCTTCAAACTGTCTTTTATAGTAAGATTATCAGGAAATACGCCAAACTGCTCATTGCACTATTTTATAATGAACATTACGCCTCGCTCTACCCTGCGCTCCTCTCCTTCCTTCCAGATCCACACCAGTGCACAGGAGCCTCGGCGTTTCCCTCCATCAAACAGCTTTCCTTTAAATGGTTCTCAATTTCTTTACAAAGCCAAGAAGGTAAGTAATAAATGCCAAACTCCTTCTCCTGCCATTTTTAGCTGCCTGACACTTCTTCCTCCCCCTCTCTCTATTCATGCCACTGTGGCCCACAAACACAGGTTGTGCATAAATGCTATCCTGTAGAGCTTCTACTTATTATGTCTCTCTGTGCCCTTTCACGCTTTTCTCACTCCCCGGGGGTGTCTCGGCGATCGATAACAGCCCCGGCTGTCGAGGGTGCTAAGACCTTTCTCTCGTTAATGCACGGCTTATTTCGGTTTGCCAGAGAAACCCTTTTCCGCCTCCACCGATTGTCCCGGCAGGCCTCCGTGAGACTGTTTTCTCCCGGTTTTGAGATGGGTCTATTATTCCCAATTGTGGGGTGAAATGTGCCCTAGTTTTTGCGGGCGTCTAAACCCTTTTTACATCTGCGGGATTGAGATAGGGGAGGTTTCATCCCATGACCAAATGGGTTTTTGAATAAGAACCAGAGACGCTTTGAACCTACTGGGATCTGGAAAATACTGACGTCTCTGTCACATCGGGGATTATCAGTGGACTGGTGGCAGCGAGACCAACACTTACCTCAAACACAAGAAGAGGAAGAAGGCTATGAGCAGCGCCACCATGGAGATGCAGTGACCCAGGAAGTTTATGATCACGGCTATTTGGTAGTGCATCTTGCTTTTTTTCTGCAGAAGAAGAAGAGAAACACAGGATGAGTCTTTTGATTCACAGAAATAGTTCTTATTTTCTTCTCTCTGGATAAGACAGGACACTACAAAGGGCGAAAAATCCTCTTTTATTTTTTCGATTTTTGACGGATGACTCCCGCTGTGATTTTAAACAGGAGTGGGTGTTAGCATTCCCAACAGGGCTGTCAAGGCTCAATTTAAATCTGAATGCAAAGCTGTTCATAATTAATTGTTAAACTGTCTATTTCTGGCAATAATCGAACCCCAAAAATAATGATAAATATTCAAATATGGAATAATATCTCTAAATATCCTACAGCTGTGGATGGATTTAGGGAAAAATGAGTCTAAACGAACACAAACATGTAACAGGTCTCACTGTGTTACCGCAGCAAAAATGCCACAAAAAATGAACAAAACTGCAAAGTTTATTATGCTGCTTGCATTTTTTCTTTGTGGCCTTTTTGTGCAGATATTTGTGCAGCTTTTTCTTGTCATTTTGTGTCTATAACTTTGTGGTACGTTTGCATCTTTTTGAAGTGGTTTTGTATCGATTTTGTATCTCTTTATGGCTTTTCTTTTTCACATTTCTTAAACAAACTTTTTTATGTTTGTGAGTTTTTTTGTGCAAGTTTTGCAAATCATTATGAATTCTTGGACTCTCTTCAGCCTTTGTGCAATAACTCTTTTTTACTGTCATTTTCGTTATTGTTGTTTTGTCTCTTTTGTCTGTTTTCTGTTCATTTGCAGTCATTTTTGATCATTTTGTGGTACTCGTGGAGTATTTTTATGTAACTTTTGGATCTCTTTGTGGAAGGTTTACTCATCACTCTCAGCCCATATTTCACAACATCCTTCTGCAGTCTTTCTAGTTTTCTTTTAAATTGTGCTTTTCCAATCTTAGGCACTTTGTTTGGTGGTACTTTTGTGCCAGTTTCCAATTACTTTGTGTAGTTTCCAGGTCATTTTTGTACATTTCGTTTTTCTTCTTCTAAAATCTTATTTTCTGATCTTGTTTTTGTCACTTTTGGCTTTTTTTTGGTATCTTTGTGGAAGTTTGTAGTTGCCCTTCAGTATGTTGTTGGGTCGGTTTCCCCTTTATATTCATTTTGTTTGGCTTTTTAGAAATTTATCTATTTGTTGCTGATTTATGTATTTTTAAATTGCGACTATTTATGTTTGTGTCTCTCATATCATTTTGAATAACCTTAAAATAATTTTACATTTCTTTGCTGACATCTTTTTGGTCTGTTTGTGTGTTCATGTGGATTATTTAACACATCCTTGTGATACTTTAACATAATTTTGTCTAAATTTTCTTTTATTTTCTGCTTGTTTTTGTGTCTCTGTGTAGTTCTTTAGACCTTTATTCTTTTGGTGTCTTTTGCAGTCATTTTGTGTCATCCCTAATCTTGTGTGTCCATCTTCTGGCACTCTGGCTCATACAGTTGCATTCAATTTATGTAATTTCAGGGTACTTGTGTGTCTCTTAGTGGAAGTGTTACACATCTTTGGTGCCATTTTGGGAGGAGTTTTGAATTCCTTTTGCATTTAGTAAATGTTATTTGCTGTTCCGAGTCTCTTCGTAGTATTATTTTCACTTCACAGTCATTTTGTGGATTTCTTTGGTGTGTTTGTGTCTCTCAGCAGTTCATTTTATCCACATTTGTGTTCATTTGGTGCCTCTCTGGCACTGGTGATCTCACTGTGGCTTTATTATTTTACACCTCTCCTTTTGGCATTTCTGCATCTCTTTGTTGTTCTTTTGTTGCTGTTTTATGTCTCCTCAGCAGTGATTGTGCATATACTTTCTGGAGCCAACTTTCCAACAGGAGATGTAAACAGAGGATGTGGTCCAGGGGCTAGTAATCCCTGAGCCTTGCAGGAGGGCCAACCAGATTTCATGGGGGCTTGTGCCGCCCCACTGGATCCACTCCTGGTTAGGAAACAGGAATACTGGGAAGCATTTGATTTTGCACACGCTCACATATGGAGAATCCACATGAGTCCTTGTGATAAGATTTCACGTAAACACAGACCCATCTTCCTGCAAATCGGTGCCTAAGCCCACTGTCTGTGCCTCAGAAATCCATTGTGATCAGATTTCCCCCACTCTACCAACAGTAATCTGTGCTGTAAGTGGATTTATGTAACCTACTGGTGTCTACGCCGAGATTAAGCGTGGGCATGTTTAATCCCTGCCTCATCCACACTGAAAAACGTCATTCGTCCCATTCACTATATTTTAGTCCAACAGCTCTAATCTTCAACTTCTAAATCTGTACTGGACAAATGTTGTTGTGACTAAAAGCGCCAGCCAGCCATCTCTCTGCTGCTTTATTGGAAATTGCTCTATTGTTTTTTGTAAGATGTTTTTCTGATAGATCCTTGGATGGATATTTCTAGGACTGGGTGACAAGACTCATGATCCATGCGAAGAAGTCATATGAGTTCTTTTTCTGAGCGCCCACCTCTGCGGTTAAAGGTTGGCATATTTTAAGGAACAAATAAGAATTGTTTGGGAAAGCTCGAGGCTCTGGTCGCTCATGAGACAGAGACATTTAAAAGACAAATGGCTCTACTGATGCCATTTATCACACTATTAAAAGGGTTTCCTTTATCCACACAGAAAAAACTGATTCTTTGCCCTCGTGAACATGAAGCAATAATTTTGAGTAAAATGCAGATGAACTTTATAAAAAAGAATTTTATTTTAATCATTAAGGAAAATGAGGTGGTATAAACTATCTGTATACAAGTCAAGTAAATTTCATTTGACCAAATTCCATTAAATGTAACATTTAACATTATATTTATGCAAAGAAAGTACATGGAAAAGTCAGTTTTTTGGGATAAATATTTTTTGAGTGAGTGACATATTTTATTTCTATTTGAAGGTTTTTTAAAATCATTTTTATGCAAAAAGGAATTAAAAATAAATTCATCCAACGAGATTAATTTTTTAAAACATATTTTAGGTACTTGTGGCTGATGGCTGGTTGCTAGCAGACCTTCCAGGCTTCGGCTGCCTCGGTATCTCTCTAATATTTTTCAGCACCTTGTCATAGGTCTAAGTCAAAAGGACCGTACGCTCTTATTGGCAGTCGCTTCAATAAACCTATCTTGAAGTTGAGGCTTTGTGTTGCCGGCGGTTACTTCACTCATTGTCACATGGATTTAATATTTTATCTGGCCGCCACATATCGGGTCCTTTATGAAGAGAAATTTTCTTTGTGCCAATAAAACTAGAAAAACTAAAAACTAGTTTCACTCATTTTCACTGCAGTCAAAGTTACACCGTGAATGCCTTTGTTAGTCATTAGTTATCTCATTAGTACACACAACTACAGTCCACACACTGTGTCCTCACTACAGATCGAACCCTGCTACATTTTTTCAGTCAGATTTCTACCTTTAAACAGAAGCTGTTCATTCTCACAGATTAAACCAGGTTACAGAACTGCTGTTTCTTTGTGTGCAGCTGTTAAACAGAGTCTGAAACAATGTCATTTAAACTGAGTTACCGATTACTTCCTTTGGTAAATCTCAGTAGATATAAGGCAACAAATCCTTCATTTGTGAAGTTTAATACATTCAGCCTCATCAGATCCTAAGAAACTAAACACGGGGCAAAGATTGTGACTGTGTGGGACACTTAGGCTGAAATGCACTCCTGAGTATTTCTTTTTTAATATTCTCAAAAATGAGATTTCAGCTGCTGTTCAGTCTGTTAAGGTTTATTAGCACACCTGTTTGACTCGCGTGTTTGTTTATATAAACTAGATCCAGTCAAAATGCCGGACACTGTCTCAGTATGTGGGACAGGCGGACAAAAAGTGCAGCGATTTTGTTCCAGTTTTATTTGTATAGCTCAGTATCACATGTAAAGGCTCACAGGACTTCCAAGGGAATAAAAACATATTAAAAGCAGAACAAAAGAACCAAAAATTAAGTGTCGTGAAATGCAAAAGAGCACCCAGATGCAAGAAAAAGTCAAATAAAAGTGAGCCTTTCAGTGGCTAAACTATACAAAGTCCAAAGACCTGGAAACCTGGAAATCAAAGCCTCCAAACAAAAGCAGCTGAAAATGTGAAACAAAGAGAAATCAAAAAGCAAGCGAGGCTGCGAGAAAACAGGAGGCTGTGAGGAGACGACTCAGAGCTGTGGGGTGTACTGCAAAGCTAGATTTTTGTCTTTATTTTTGGTGTGATAGATCACTACAGTAAAAATTCAACATGTCCACATCTGTGTGATTAGCCTGTGGGACTCAGAGTAACCTTTGATATTTAAATGGATCCAGTTTACTAAAGTCTAATGTGCAGCTGTCAGGTTAAAAATAAACAGCAGCCCCGAGAGCGCTCCAAGAGGGAAAAGAAAAAATATAAGATTTTGATGTTTTACTTTTCCTCTGATAATGCCTCTGACTAAAGTAGGCACCAGTCTATTTTGCGTGTGAAATGATGAATACGAGTGAAATAATGTGCAATCATGTGTAAAATTCCCCCTTTTACGCGAGCGCTCACATTAAAATGCTCACGGTGGAAGAAAACAAATGCAGCAATAACAGAAGCAGAAAAAACCTGATACGATATTGATGATGAAAACGTGCATGTGCTCTGTGTCTACCTGATTACGAACTGTGGCTGAATCAGTTAGAGTGCCTGCACAGCGCAGCAGTGAAAAGCGTCACTGCGTGCTCTAATTATAGAATGCAATGCAATTAGGAATCATTACTAATTAAAAACACCAGTTAAAATCCAAGATATGTCAAAAATCCCTCCTTCACAGCAGGATGTCGTGCGCACCGGTTAAAGGACTGTAGACTTTTTGTTTCCCATCGTTTAAAGGGAACATTTTAAAGGTCACATGACAGAAGGAATAATGAGTAATTACCAACAGGAGCGGTTAGCGGCAAGAAAAGAGTATGTGTGGAATTTTCTGCTTTAATTATTCATAAAATGTGATCTGATCTTTATCCAAATCACAAGTAAAGACAC